CCCGCCCCGGCCCCCGCGGCCCTCCCCGGCCCCTCGGCTGACCCGTGGGCTGTCTCTGCAGCCTCGCCCCCGCGCAGCGTGGTTCTGGAGTGCACCCACGTCAGCAGCGTCGACTACACTGTGGTGCTGGGACTGGGGCAGCTGATAGAGGACTTCCGCCGGCGGGGCGTCACCCTGGCCTTTGTCGGCCTGCAGGTAGCGGCCGGGGGCTGCGGCCGGTTGTGAGGAACCCCCCGGTGACTGAGAGGGAGGGTGTGGTTCCGGGTGGGGTGGCTGGGGCCCTCTCAGGAGCCCCTTGGCCGGCGGTCCTCACGGTGACCCTCCGCCTCTGGGGAGGAGCGGGGAGCGGGGCCCTGCAAGGGCAGGAGGAAAGCCTGGCCCCGGGCGGTCATGACTTCCTTCCGCTCCACGCTGGACTGTGCGGCGACGGGCCCCTGGTCGCACGGGTGGACGTTTAGGAAGTACAGACAGACGCGGACATGCGGAAATAGGCGCAGGAAGTGCTCAGGGGCTTCAGGAGGCCTCTGGTTGGGGGGTGGGGGTTGCTGAGAGGGTGACAGAAGGACGTAACTGCGGGTTTGCTGAAACCCATTTCCTTAGCTCCCAGGACCCTGTGCGTGGTCTGAACAGCATCGGCGTCTTTACCTGTGGGCCTGAACCTAACAGGAGCAGCGACAGTGACCGTGTTTGTTGGCAAGGGGTGGGGGCACCATGTAGGGTGACAGAGAGGCCACCCGCCCACGGCCTGGGCGCACGGCCTGGGATCAGCATTGATGGGGGAGTGAGTCACGGGCTTTGTTGTGAAGGGTGCCCTCCCAGCCATGTACCAGGCAGGGGCACGCAGGGACGTAGGTGTGGCCCACAGCCTTGTGGAGAACACATCTACAGCCAGTCCTGAAACCCGCCGCTGAGCCGGGCTCGGAGCCAGCGGCTTCCTGACAGCTGGCATTTGTCACGGGGTCACGCGGGGTTATTGGCAGTCACATCCTCCCCGTTTCAGACGAGGAGGCCAGAGAAGCTCATCAGCCTGCCTGAGACCACACAGCGAGGGTGGGGTGGGCTGCAGGCTCAGGAAGGCCAGCTCCGGCGCTGTGCTCTTGACTGTTAATGTCGCCCGTCATGTTCGAGAGTGCTCGGCTTCCTGCTTGTGTTCTTTGGAAACTACTCATTTAAAAATCCTCTTTACAGCATTTCAGTGAGGCAGGGTCTCTTCTCCGTTTTACATATGTGGGGACGTGCCCCTCACGGGACGCGCTGAGACGCAGCATGTGACGTGGGGACATGCCGCTCACGTGACACGCTGAGACACAGCATGTGATGTGGGACGTGCCCCTCGTGGGACGCGCTGAGACACAACATGCGACGTGTGGGTGGCACCCCTCCCACGTGGGCACAGTGGTGGAGCTGTGCGTCTGACCCGGGCCGCGTGCCCTCAGGGCGTCAGAGAGGAGTGACCTCGCCCTCTAATGGACGTGTGTCTGTCCCTCAGGTGCCCGTGCTGCGTGTCCTGCTGTCTGCAGACCTGAAAGGGTTCCAGTATTTCTCCACTGTCGAAGAAGCAGGTTGGTGCCATCAGAACCGGGCCCCAGCCCGCGGGAGTGCAGGAAGGGCGGGAAGAGCAGGACTCGGGGTGGGGGGGACGCTGGAGTCCTGAGAGTGAAGGTCACTGGTGGTCCCAGCTGGGCCTTGGCAGCTCTTCTGTCCGTGCGGGACAGGCCAGAGATGCAGGGCGGGCTGTTTGACGCCGAGCTGGGCTGCTGGGCCTCACTGCATCGAGAGCCTTGTGTGCTGTGGGATCCTGGTGCTCCAGGCCCAGGGCTGGCCCTTCTCCACCTTCACCTGCTTAGAGAGAGGGATGGGGAGCCAAGGGGTGTGAGGCAGCAGGCACGTTAGGCAGGGCCCTCTCCTGCCCTGGGGACTTCTGAGCACGGAGTGCGTCTGTGTCTGTGTGCATGTAATTCAGGTAAAATTTACACACAGTACATTTGGAGTTCTGACAAACGGATACCCTATGTATCTACCGCTCAAGATGTGGGACCTCTCCTTCACTCCAGAAAGTTCTCCCCTGCCCTCTCCCAGTGACTTCCCACCCCCAGGGGTAAGCACTGTTCAGATCTCCCCTCCATAAGTTAGTTGGGCCTGCTCCAGAAGCTCACGGGAGTGGAACTGTAAAGATTGGTTTTCCGTCCAGCTCCTTTTGTTCATCATGATGTCTGTGAGCTCAAACACGGAGCAGCGGGAGGGTGGATGAACCAACTGGCATAGGCACGCGGGGGAGTACCGCCCAGCGATGAGAAAGGGGAGATGGTGTGCTCAGAGATGGTTGTGACATCCTACAGAGAGCCAGCGGTGCCTCTGCTTCCCCTGCTCAGGACCACGAGATGCCGGCCTTTGCTCCCGTTCTGTGGGCTGATGCGCGCTTGCTTCTGCTTCTCTAGTCCTTGTACAACTTGTGTTTTCTCAGAGAAGCAGCTGAGGCAGGAACCCGGGACCCAGCCCTACAACATCAGTGAAGACTCTGTTCCGGAACACAAGGTCGCCCTGTTGAAGGCTTAGCTGGGCGCCTGATTGGTGCCTGGCATTTGAGGTGTCTCCCGGAAGGGTCTTGTCACTGTGATGTTGATACTCCACTGCTGCCTGTTCATACGCCCGCCTGAGGGACCCAAGGAAAGCCGGAGTCGCCGACCTGGGAGGGAGAAGGAACCCTGCGTTGAGGCCCCAGCTGGGAACCTTGGCTCCACTTGGGATGATGGAACAGTTCCTAGAGTGTCTTCTAGAATAACGTGAGGGAGCAGGGATTTCCAGGCTGGGCTAGGAGGGGCGTCCTCAGGCCCGGCCCACCTTCCCAGGCCCGAGTTCTCAGTTGGGTGGGGGCGGGAGGAGCCTGTGCTGATGGTCACGGGCGTCTGGGAGGTGGCGTCTGGTCCAGATGGCGAAGTCTGTTGATATTGGTGGGGAGAAAACCAAGGTGCGCCAAACGACTTCAAGTCTATTTAAAGGTCATTTTGTGTTTTGTGTTTTTAAATTGAAAAAGTAATGGCTTTTGGTGTTTTTGTAAAAATCATACTTATTGTAAAAAACACAGGAAACCACCCTCCCCCAGTCCATTTCGGTGATCATTCCAGACCCCCTTCCCACTCGATACACGTAACATGTGCGCTAGCATGTGGATCTGTTTACGGTGTCCCATACGTGGATCAGTCCACACGTGGCTCATGGTGCTCTGTAACTCCGTTCCTGGCGTTCAGTGCTGTGAAGATTTATTGTGATAATAAACATAGAACACGTGATTTCTGGTGTCCGCCTGGTGTTCTGTTGCGTATTTGGATTGCGGTTTCCTTAATTAGCCTCTACTCGCCGCCTCTCCCCTGTTGGGTACGTTGTACCTGCCCTTTGGTTTCAGAGTGTCTAACCATTGCCAGGGGTGACTCCGTGGAGGGTGGAGGGCCGCGGAGTGTGCTCTCTGCCCCTAAAGGAGGAGCTCGCTGTGCAGGGGGCCTCGGGCAGGTGACCCCACCACAGCGCCTCCAGGACCCACCAGTGTCCACACGAGGCCACGTCCCTCCCAGCCATTGCTTGCCAGTCCCTGAGCCCAGCAGGGATACTGAAACCAAAGCCAGATGCTGTCGAGGCGACACCGACTCGTGCGGACCCGTGTGTCGGGGTAGAACTGGGCTCCAGGGGGTTCTCAGCGGCCGGACGTTTGGAAGTAGATCGCCAGCTGGCAGTTCCTGTAGCCCCCGTGCAGCCGGTTGTTCTGAGCGAACCTTCCAGATTCCTGTCCTGTCTTCTGCGCTTTCTCCATCCGGGCCCCGGACTGACCAGCTCAGCCGTCCACTGCCCGTGGGTGTTTCCTTTTTCTTTCTTGTTTTTTGACGGCTTTACCAAAACGTGATTCACCTTTCGTACGATCTGTCCACTTAAAGCATACCGTGCAGTGGTCTTTCATATATTCAGAGTTGTACCACCATCACCACAGTCAATTTTAGATGATTTTCATCATCCCCCGAAAAGAAACCCCACACTCTAGCTATCGCCCCTTATCCTCCCTGCCCCCCCCCCCCCCCAGCCCCTGGGAGCCACGAATTTACTTTCTGTTTTCCTGTTCTGCACTCTGACACAAATGGACTCATAATATGTGGCCATTGTGTCTGGCTTCTTTCATTTAGCATGCTGTTTTCAAGGTCGATCCATGTTGTGGCGTGCATGGGAACTTCGTCCTTTATGATGGCTGAATGACATTCCGTTGTATGGATAGCCACATTGTGTTCATCCATTCGTCTGTTGATGGATATTGGGGTTGTTTCCACTTTCTGGCTGTTACGAATAATGCTGCTGTGAACTTTGATGGACCGATTTCTGTGCGGACACTTGTTTTCATTTCCCTTGGGTGTGTACCTAGGTGTGGAGTTGCTGGCTTATCCGCTGGCTCTGGTTTGAGGAACTGCCAGATTGTTCCCCGCAGCGGTGCGATTTCTGTACATCCTCACCAGCGCCTGTGGTTACCTGCTGTTTCATTGCAGCCATCCTAGAGAGTGCGAAATGGTTTCTGATGGTGACTGTGATAGGTGTTTCCCCGATGACCGATGACCTTGGGCACCTCCTGTATGTCTTCTTACCTTGGGCTGTTGCGACATAAAGTGGATGTGTCCTGACACTGCCCACGAGGCCATCCCGGACCAGGGCTGTCATGGAGCAGGGAGTCCATTTGTGGCTGTGTCCACGTGCCAAGCACATCCTTTCCCCAACTAAGAGATGGTCCTATTCACAGAGCTGGTGGGCGGTAAGTCCATACGCTCAGGTGGGCATTGTTGTTTGTTCCCTCTGAGTTGATTCCCCCCAGCAACCCCGTGACCCCAGGCGGGCAGCAGGCTGACACCGCACGGCACCCGTGACTCAGCGGGAACATGTACAGGAGGAAGGGAGGCCAACAGTGTTTATTACAGCCTTGTAGGCAATTTTAGAAAATGAAAGACTCAGTCTCTCCATTGGGGGTTGTCTTCAAGAAGCTGTGCAACACTCATACTGGGCAATACTGTAGCAGTTGGAAGGAGCTGTAGGTGCTAAGACAGATTCTTGAATGAAAAGAAACAAGTTGCAGAAGGATACCCATCTTAAAATACAACGTGTGTAAACACACATACTAAACAATCCTATGATGTCTGTACAAGTTAAAAAAAAAAGTTCTGGAAGGCCCCATATCAGACTCATAAGAGTAGTTCCTTCTTGGGAGCAGTACAGTTTAACCATAGTTGTTATGGTTTAATTTTTCAAATAACAATGACAGTTGTTGTCGAGTTGACTCTGACTCATGGTGACCCCGTGTGTCAGAGCAGAACTGTGCTCCATAGGGCTTTTAATGTCTGATTTTTCAGAAGCAGATCACCAGGCCTTTCTTCCAAGGCGCCTCTATTGGCTTGAACCTCCAACCTTTTGGTTAGCACCTGAAGGTATTACGTGTACCACCCAGGGGTACAGTCATAATTACCTTGTAATTAAAAATTAACTGTAGAAAAGAAAAGTGTGGATAACTGCCCTGAAGAGCTTGGCATTTGGTGTCAGATACGCAGGGCTGAGTTCCACCACTGTCCCTCGCTAAGCCACGGTCTAGATGCCGGGCGATCTGTGTAACTGGGTTGACACGCTGAGCCTCAGTCTAGACGCCAGGCGATCTGCGTAACGGGGTTGACAGTATTGTTGCTGGCTGCCATCAAGGTGGTCCCAGAATCATGGTGACCCCATGCACAATGGAACAAAACAACGCCCAGTCCTGCGCTGTCCCCATGATCAGTTGCAGGTTGGACTGTGGTGATCCATAAGGTTTGCACTGGCTGATTTTCAGAAGTAGATCGCCAGGCCTTTCTTCCTAGTCTGTCTTAGCCTGCAAGCTCCGCTGAAACCTGTTCAGCATCACAGCAACATGCAAGCCTCCACTGACAGGTGGGTGGTGGCTGCGCATGAGGTGCATTGGCCAGGAATAGAATCCAGGTCTCCCACATGGAAGGCGAGAATTCTACCGTTGAGCCTCCTCCACCACTGGGTTGATAGTAGTTGACGAAACCCTTCCACACCCCCAGGCTCGTGTGGCACTAACACTGACAGCGGGTGCTGCCTCGACCAGCAGCAGTGTTTCTGGCTCTTGCAGTAAGTGTGCCATGGGACTGGGATCCAGTGGATGGCATATGCTTGTCCCCCCTTTCTGGCTGGCAGGGGAGCAGACAATCCCCCAGGCACCCTTGGCAGCCACGTACTGAAAATGGCAAACTGCTTCAGCCTGGGTGCCAGGTCCCCCACAGGTGCTTGCGCCAGGCCCCCCCACAGGTGCGTGTGCTGGGCCCCTCAGAGATGTGTGTGCCGGGACCTGCATAGGTGTGCTGGGCGTGGGAGCCACGAGCGTTAAATGAGATAATAGAGGCCAAGTGCCGGAACATCAGTGTCTCCTGTTGTTATTATTAATCCCCGGAAGCTGGGATGCAGGCTTATTGGCCTCACTTTACAGATGAGGGGGTTGGGATGCACACACCGCCTGGGGCTCAGTCCGAGCCCTGTGTGAATCCCTCTGGCCGGCCGCCAACCAGGAGGGTGCCCAGCAGCCGAGGCGCCTCCCCAGGGGCTTCTGGGGGCGTCACCGCAGAGGAGTCCGGCCCCGCCCACGTGAGCCCCGGTGCCCGCGGAGGCGGGACACGTGGCTCCAGCAAAGTGGCCGCGAAAAGGGAGGAGGGGTCGGGGCGGAGGTCTGCGAATCAGGGTGCGGGGAAGGGGGATGCGAGGGATCTGTGTGTCCAGGAGTGCGGGGGTGGGAGGGTGCGGGGACCCGAGGGTCCGTGGATACGAGAGGCTGGGTTGGGGGGGTGCGAGGACGCCGAGGTGCCGAGGTGCGGGGGGCGGGAGGCAGTAGGCGCAGGGTGGGGCGCGGCGATGATCCCGGAGGCCGGGGCCCCCGCCCCGTCCGGGGCGCGGCGGGAATCCCAGGCAGGGCCTCAGAGGGGGCGCTGCGTGACTTCCCAGGCATGGTCTCAGGGCGGCTCTGACCACGGAGGCAGGGGCGGCAGGAGTCGGGGGCGGGCGGCACTGCACCCCGAGTCCCTTGCTGGCACGAATCGCAGTGGCCGACAAGGGAGTTGCCAATAGACGCGCCAGGCGCTTCTTGGAAACCCTATGAGGCAGCTCTACTCTGTCCTTTTGGGTCGCTGTGAGTCGGAATCGACTCGACGGCAACGGGTTTGGTTTTTTGGTTTCGTCCTTATTTCACAGTAACTTTTCCGAAGAGGCAGGGCCGCCCCCGCCCTGGAGGGAGGGGACTCCAGCGCCGCGGGGCTGGGCTCTTAAGGGCAGGGTGGGCGCTCAACACGGCCGCCACCTCCAGGACCCGAGGGTGAGGCCCCAGCATCACGAGAGGGCTGGGGTCCTGGGGGAGGCCGGGCGGGAGGAGGAGCAGCAAGTGCAAAGATGGGGGGGCGCGCTGCTCCATCCCTCACCGCCCCGCCCCCCTTGTTTTCTTGGGGAAGTTGGGGGAGGGGCTTTGAGTTTTGGCGCGGTCCGTGGTTGGGACTGAAAGTGAAGGGACAAGTCTGGAAGCTGATGAACAGGGCGCGTTGGGGGCCCGGGCCCTTCATTTGCCTTTACCCCGATTTACACCCCAAGTGCAGGCAGGGAGCAGAAAGATGCTTCAGCAACGTCCTGTCCTGAGCCTTGCTCTGGGTTTTCTGGCCTGTGAGGAGGGGAACGCTGCAGAGTGGGAGGCAGCCTTGGGTGGAAAGGGAGAGGCCGTGGGAGTCACTGAAGGTGTTTGAGTGAGGGAGTGCCCAGACGTGGTGGTCCGTGTGGAGGGGAGGCCTGGCCCGTGTAAGGTGAAGCAAGGTAACCGCACATACCGGGTGCCCGCCTCCGCCCCTCTGCAGGAGCTCACCCCCAGTGAAGACCATGCCTACGGTGCAGACGGAGAGGGGTGGACACCACCGGCCCTCTGCCCTCCTGGCTGAGAGCCCTCCGTATGACCGGAACACCAGGGTACCGCCAGCAGGAAGGACTGGAGGACCAAAGGCTGGGAAGGAGCTCTGTCCCGTGCACCGGAGAGATCTTGTCCGAAGCCAAGAGGGGTGCATGGATCTTTGGACACTTGTCATTGTCACCACAGAGAGTCGATGCCTAGATTGTTGGGCCCCCAGAGCCCAAAGCCTGCCTCCTCTCACCCTGGACAGATGGCCTCGGCATGGACTGGCCGTGACTCTGACCGCAGTTTGATGCCACCCACCACCAAGGGTGACCTGAGGGCCAGTGGTCAAGGGAAGAGTGTGGAGTTCTTACGTGGCAGCCCCCACTGGTGGGAATCCTGGTCACAGCCTCTGTTCTGAGGAACCCGGCCCGTGAGCCCTGGGCCCTGGCCGGCTCTAACTCAGCGGGCAGTGGTGGTGGCTGGCATTTCTGTGTGGCTCAGTAGTCCCCATGTCAGCCTGAGAGCAGGTGCTTCACGCTAGCCCCTGATAAGCAGGCCAGGTGCAGACAGGCTGAGCGACCTGCTCAGGACACACAGCAGGCATCAGCTCTGGGCGTTGGCAGCGCTTGGCTGCGGAGCAGATAACTGAGGGTTTTGCCCATCTTTGTCTCTGCCCAGAACTCTCGCCCCCATGCACCCCCACCCCACTGACCCCTGCCCTTCTCCAGGCTCTGCTCAGCTGATTGTGGGGAAGTTGCTGGCCCACAGCTTAGTGGGGACCTCAGCTGCAGCATTTCCAGAAGCCTGGCGGGGGCAGCAGAGGGGGAGGGTGCCTAGAGCGGCCAGTATGCGCTGGGTGGCGCCGGAGGGGAGGGTTTCAGGGGAAGTATCCGGAATGAGGCTGCAGCCGTGAGCAGGAAGGGCGGGGATGGGTTTACTGGAGCAGTAAGTAGGTCGTTATATCACTGAAACTTCTCTCAGAAAAGCAAACTGAAACAAACTGGGCTCCGGTCGCTTGATGCGTGGCTGGGTATAAAGCCAGCTGCCTTGGGCCTCTTGCTTCCATTCTGCAGGGGACACTGGACCAGAGGAGCCCTCCGCGGAGGCAACGGTGTTCCTCCCGAAGAGGAAGCCCCCAAATCCTGCAGCCAGTGTGGGGTCAGGCTTCCTGTGGTTCCCACACCAGGTGAGGCCGGGGGATACAGGCGGGGGCTGTGGGGTGCCGGGTGCCCGTGGAGGGGTGGGGCAGTGGGGACCCGCAGGCTGCGGAAGAGGGTCGTCAGCCAGCTTTGCCTCCCCTCCGGGAGATGGATACAGCCTTTCTGCTGCCGTGCTGTGGCTCAGGCAGGCGGCTGGAAAGCTCCTTCTAGAAGCAGCACTTTCAGGAGAAGAGCAGTCTCCTCAGGTCCTTCTCCAGAGGCGCCGGGTCCTGGCAAGGCTGTGGCTTTTATTCTTTGGTAGCAGTTTCATTTTTTAGGGGGGTGAGAAGGGCTGGGCTGGCTGAGGGGCTTCTTAGAGGATTTCAGAGGATGCCCATGGAGCTGGGGTCCAAGGTGTTACTGTGGGGTGGGGACTTTGCCTTGGCTTGTTTGTGGGTGACGGCGTTGGGCCCCTGCATGCCCCTGATGATGGGGAGGGGAGAGGGGTGGTGTCAGGCGGACCTCACCTGCTGGGCGTGGACAGGACATGTTTCTGGTCCATCCTTGGTTCTCTAGGCATCGAGGCCCTCAGGCTTCCCTCCTACCTTGGGGTCCCTCTCCTCCATCTCCTGGGGACCTGGTCCTGCTTCGTGGTTGTAAGCACCACCCGAATCTGGGTAGCACCCAGATTCATCTCTTCTCCGGGGCTTCTCACCTAAACTCCAGCCCCTCCTCCACCTCTCCGCCTTACCATGTCCAAAGCCGAGCTCCTGTCTCCCCGCAAAGCTGCTCCCTCAGGCTCCCCTCCTCCCAAAACAGCAGCAAGCATCTTTCCAGCTCCTTGGCCCACACCCTCACTGTCCACGCCTCCTCTCTTGCTTTCATGCCCACATCCAGTTCCCAGAGGTGCCATTGGCTCCGCCATCAGAACTGACCTGGGACCTGACCACTGCCGCCTCCCTCCCTCCAGGACCCCTGCAAGAGGCTCCCAGCGGGCCTCCGTGCCTCCTCGCTGCCCCCTGACACTCGCACAGCACCTGGTGGGAGGGGCGTCTTTTAAAAGGAAGATCACGCCCTCCCCCTCCCAGAGCCCCCCATTTCACTCAGACGAGAGCTGGGGTCCTTACATTGCCCACAGATCCTACACAGACGGCCCCCGCTGCCCCCATGTCTGATGCCCCCCACTGCCCTTGCCACCCCCCCACTGCCCCCACCTCTGCTGTCCCCCACTACCCCACCTCTGCTGTCCCCCCAGCTGCCCCAACCTCTCCTGCCCCCCTTGCTCCCAACCTCTGCTGCCCCCCTCCCCAGAGCCCACTGGCCTGTCCTTCCTGGGCCATGCCAGATGTGCTCTGACCACAGGGCCTTTGCCCCACCTGTTCCCTCTACCTGGAACAAGGAGCCCTGGTGGCTCAGCAGTTAAGCACTCATCCGCTAAATGAAAGGTCAGTAGTTCAACCCACCAGCTGTTCCACGGGAGAAAGATGTGGCAGTTTGCTTCTGAAGAGTTTACAGCCTTGGAAACCCTATGGGGCAGTTCTACTCTGTCCTACAGGGTCCCTAGGAGTCGGAATCGACTGGATAGCAGCAGGTTTACTGCCTGGAACCACCTCTGCCTAGAAGTCGCCTTCCCCCAGGTGGCAGCACAGCTCCCTCCCTGCCCTCCTCCAAGTCTTTACTCCAGTCTCCTCCTCCAGGAGGCCCACCCTGACCACCTCATTTAAAACCACAGCCTGCCCCCTTCGCCAATGCCCAGCTGCACTTTATCCGGCTGTTTGTCCCCCAGCACTTGACCATACCAGCGCGTAGCTTCATAGGAGACCTTTGTCTCTTGTCCTGCTTTTCCCAAGTTCCTCGTGCACTGCCCGGCACATAGTAGGTGCTCAAACAATATTTGTTGAAGGAATGAAAGCAGGTTGGAGAGAGAACCCTGTGTGTGTGCAGAGTCAGTATGTCTTGTCAGTACCTCAGCTCCTTGCTCACCCACCCTTGGGGACCCTCAGGTGTCACACTTGGTGTTAAGGGGCTGGGGCAGAAGCCGACAGTCCCCCGTAGTTCTTGTTTCTACTGCATTTGCACAGAGTGCCCGCTGGAGCGCTCTGGGCGGGCTGCAGGAGTTGGGAGGCTCCGCCGCTCTCTGTTGTAGATGTTCTCTTGGTGGGTCTCTGTTCTTGCTCACCTCTGGAGAGAAGCTTGCTGAGCAGCCAGGCCTGCAGGGTCCAGCTCTCCCCGGGAGCCCAGGACCGCAGTCGTCCCTCGCTCTGGGTATCCATTCCTTGCTGTTGAGATATTGAGTCATTGGGATGGCTGAGCTCTTAGTGTCTGCTGGGTCCTGTGGGCCCAGAGCCCTGGCCTGGCCCAGAGTGCCCCCTCTCCAAGGACAGGGGGTTCATGTGCACCCCAGGAACACACATGCCTTCCTGCTTATCTCTCCCTGGGCTGTGACTCTCATTTTGCAGGAATGGAAACTGAAACCAAGATGTCGAGGACTTGGCTGGAGTTGCTGGGGTTGGCTGAGGCATTTCCTCCTCCAGCCTTTTGTCTGCAGGGCATAGCTGGGCTGGTCCCTAGGGAGCCCGAGGTCGGGGGGCTAGAAAGGCCTCAGAAAGTCCATCTGCCCAGAGCTCCTAACCTTAGCCAATTCCATATTTGGACACAAAAAGGTGTTTTTCCTTGTAGACACACTGTTAAATTTCCTGCAAATGCCACATTCCAATATCTGGGGGAAGCAAGCATTATATGAAATTAAGGGCTCATTTTTACAATTTGAAGGGGAGATCAAGGGTATTTTGGAATACTCTGTAACTCTAAGTCGAGTCAGATTGAAACACGAGACTTGAGGTTGAGTCAGTGCCTCAGGAGGATGCCACAGTCTTACATGTCTAATGTTAAAATTGATAACAGCAGGGGGAACAAAGCTATAATTCAGAATGGGAGTAGCTAACTGATTTGAGTTCTCATGCAGTTCTGGGTGAAGGATGACAGATCCAGCATTTATTCAGATCTGTGGATTGTGCGCTACCTGAGTGAGTTTAACAAGGCCATTCTCGTTCCGAGAATAATGGGAGCTGCGATAAATAGCAGTATGGGCAGAAGTTTAAGTAGGGCTTCATAGTGGAGAAATACAATCCAGAAGAAGTAAACAAAGGCTATCAGCATACACGGAGCCCTGATGGTGCAGTGGTCAAGATCTACAGCTGCCAACCAAAAGGTCAGCAGCTCGAATCCACCAGCTGCTCCCCGGAAACCGTACGGGGTAGTTCCACTCTGCCCCACAGGGTCGCCATAAGTTGAAACTGACTTGACAGCAACGGGCTTTGGTTTACCAGCATACAAATAACAGTGATGACAAAATAAGCTATTCTCTAGAATTGGTGTTATAAAAAAAAGAATTGTGGGTTTTCAGGGAGAACAAAATATTAAAACAAGGAATAATACCCCACAGCTGGAGTTCAATGAAAATACAAAGAATTAGGATAATCGGAAAACAAATTCTTAGTACCTCTACAGCTAAATCGTTTCCATTTTAAAAGTTCAAGTTTATAACAAAAAATATTTCAAAACAATGGCAAGTTATAATTTCAAAGCAAAAATGAGTATAATGGTTAGAAAGTGGCACTACAAAGGAGTTAGATCATTAAAATCATCAAAATACCCACAACTAAAAATTTCATCCCGGTGACTGAGAAAAATTCAAAGAGTTAAAGCCCTCATTTAAACAACTTATTTTACAGATAACAACTGGCATAATATAATCCACAATCATGCATAACAGCTAATAATGTGAAGATATAAAATAAAACAAATAAAAAAATGATAAAAGGCAACCAGTCGAACTTTTACTGCAGGCTGCATAGGCAATTTCAGGTCACGTCTGAAGATCTCAAGAAAGCAGTCTACCCAGCCATCATCTGCTTTTCTTCCTGGTGATGTGTGAATTTTAATTTCAAACCTTCACGAGGCTCAACAGTCCATTCAGGAGTCGGGTCTTTCTTCAGTTGGGATAAATGAATCCAAGCCTCAACTTCCTGTAATTTAGCAGCACAAGAATTAGTGAGAAGGACTAAATAAGGTCCTTTCCATCGAGGTTCAAGAGAATTCTTTTAATTGTTGTCTATTCCAGTAAATACGACCTCCACGTTGAACATTAGGTAATTAGATGTTTCTTGCTTTTGATTATCAAACGCTGCCTTAACCTGTGTAAAATATTCTTTAGAATACTGGATCAAAGATTTACAATACTGTAAACAAATCCGATTGAACTAAATTTGAATCAGGGCATGTTGCCCAATACGGGAGGGCCACTGGCCGTCCAGTGCTAATTTCACGAGGAGTCAATTTGTGAGGTCCAAACGGAGTAGTTCTTAAATTTAAAAGGACGAGAGGCAGTACCTTAGTCGAAGGCAATTGTAAAGATTTGGAAAGTTTGACTAGTTGAGTTTTTATTACACCATTAGTTCTTTCAACTAGACCAGAGGATCTAGGGTGATAAGGACAATGAAGTCCTTGAAAAATGGGGAAGATTTTACATATTTCCTTACTTATTTGCCCAGTAAAATGGGTGCCTCAGTCACTAAAAGGGAACCTTGGGACTCCCCAGGTGGGGATATGTTCTCAAGAAGTTTCTTAGCCACAAACGCAGCAGTAGCTCAATGACGAGGAAAAGCTTCCACCCAGTGAGAAAATCTACAAATCATTACTAATACAAACTTGTGACCACTTGAGGAGGGGAGGTTGGATAAAATCAATCTGCCATTCAAGCACTGGTCCTGACGGCAAGGGAAATCTCTCACGTGGAGCTTTGTAAGGTTTATCTGAATTACACTGAGAGCAAATTGAACACTGGGAAGCCATGTGTTCAGTGGCTTCATAAAAATTCCCCCACCAGACTCTACCAAGAGGAATAACCTACGAGTGACTGGAGTACTAGAACGGGGCGGGGAGGGGGGTAACAGAAAATAGAGAGACTTGTTGAAGATTTGTTGGCAGAAAGCTTCCCTGATACCGTGAAAGATTACAAGATATCTACCCAAGATGCTCATCAAAC